ACAGTCAATGTAAGCGGGCTATAGTACTAGAGCTAACCAGGCCCGAGCCAAATTTTAGCACCAGCTAAATCGGTAGAGCGGTAGGTGCCGCGAGGGTCGAACGCGTACTTTAACGAGATAACGTCCAAAACAGTATACAAATTTTGAAAAATTTGATCAGGATGCATGTTTTCAAGATTGATAATTGAACTCGGAACGGAAGTAAACACTGCAAAAATCTCGCGACATAGCGATACTGTCAAAGTATCTGTGAGATATTTGTGCAATAAAATTTATTTGAATTTGAATTTGACAGACAGTATTCACTTGCGTACGTGTGAACGCTCCGACTCAAACCAGCCCGAGCCAAATTTTAGCACCAGCTAAATCGGTAGAGCGGTAGATGCCGCGAGTGTCGAACGTGTACTTCGACGAAATAAAGTCCAAAACAGTATAAAAATTTGAAAAATTTGATCAGGATGCATGTTTTCAAGATTGATAATTGAACTCGGAACGGAAGTAAACACTGAATCGTAGGGCCTGTACACAACGCCATCTCGCGACATACTGCCAAAGACAGAGTAATAAGTTAAGTATCTGTGAGATATTTGTGCAATAAAATTTATTTGAATTTGACAGACAGTATTCACTTGCGTACGTGTGAACGCTCCGACTCAAACCAGCCCGAGCCAAATTTAGCCCATTTAGCTCGAGCCAAACCATTACCGTGTGAACGCGGTAAAACTAAAAGTGTAGGCCTACCACTAGCGCTAAGAGGGTCTATGTCCCCTGGGGTACTGCCGGAACGTAACCTGGGTACGGTCCGGTATACCGGAACGTACCATGGTACCATCTAATATGCCGGACCGTACCTCGCCTACTCCACTAACAAGTCTAGGGAGTCGCCTATGCCTACTCCCTAACCCTAAATCTAACCCTAATCCTAACCATATCAAATAATGACCAGGGTACGTTCCGGCAGTACCCTGGGGGAGATAGACCCTATGAGCACCACTAGCCTACCAGTACCAGACTTGAAGTTGTGTAGGACTACTAGTACTACTACCCTACCCTACCCTACCTGGCCTGTACCCTACACTTCTGACTGTAGTCTGTAGTACTTACTAGTAGTGGCCCAAGGATAGAGAACATGGGTCCCAATAAAACCAATGTGCCTAACCCTAACCCTAACCATAAGTCATAACCCTAACCTATTAGTCAAATTTAGGGTTAGAGTTAGGGTTAGGGTTAGAGTTAGGGTTAGAATTAGGGTTAGGGTTAGGCTTAGGCACATTGGTTTTATTGGGACCCATGTTCTCTATCCTTGGGCCAAAGGTTATATGGGACAGAATGATTCGGTCTTGGTTAGGGTTCAGCTTTTGGGTTAGGGGGGCCCTTCTGGTTCAAGGATAGAGAACATGGGTCCCAATAAAACCAATGTCATTTACATCAATATAAATAATATAATATTATATCAATATAATACTAATAGGTTAGGGTTATGACTTATGGTTATGGTTAGGGTTAGGGTTAAAATTAGGGTTAGGGTTAGGCACATTGGTTTTATTGGGACCCATGTTCTCTATCCTTGAACCAGAAGGGCCCCCCTAACCCAAAAGCTGAACCCTAACCAAGACCGAATAATTCTGTCCCATATAACCTTTGGCCCAAGGATAGAGAACATGGGTCCCAATAAAACCAAAATTGGCCAATATAACCCTCACCAAAATATAAAAAAGGATATATCATGGGACAGGATACATGGGATTCGGTCTAAACCCTAACCCTAACCCTAAACATACCAGACACCTTGAGCATATAAAAATATAAGCATAATACTAAACAACCTAAAACTACCTCGGGTACATATATACATGTAGTACCTGATACGACAACGACCCTTCGTGCAGTAGACTAAGTAGTAAGTACACGTTAATCGTTTAAGAATTGTACGATGGGCGGTGGAATATGGCCAGCCGTTTGGCAGAGTGCCACGGCACTCGCTCATTTCTCGTGACTGGAGACCCAACGATAACCATCATGAACGCGGCTAGATGAACTTACCTCATGAGTCATATAGCTAGTTACTGTTATATTCTCTTGCTGACGTTAATACGTCAATTACAGAGGCACTAAAGATAGATAAATAAGAACCGTTTTCGACGTTTCGTGTACAGTCATCAGTGGTAAGACGCACGCTGACGTTGCGTTTGTAACCAAGCAGTAATGTGTAAAGTGCTTGCCAATTGGTCCAAAATGCGATGCAGACCAATCATAAAACAGTTTACATAACAGGTTTTTGTAATAAACATGGCTGCGCTGTGTAACTCTTATTTTCCATCACTTCTTCCAAGAATCGCCGACCCTCTGTGGTTTAACGTGGACCGTCCCGTAGATGACGAAGCCGAATTATCACAACTTGAAATAGAGCACCAAGCCTGGTTACGAAGTATCTCTGATAAAGACAAGGATGTCGTTCCAATAGGAAAGAAAAGTTCAGAAAGGTGAGGTTATGGTCACATAACACTAACAGTAACAGTAGTCGGTAACTCTTACTCTTACTCTTAGTCTTACATTTACAACCTTTTTTAAAATTTCCTTGTAGATCATGGAAAATCCTCCATTTTCGGTTATTCATTTAGTTCAAGTTATTCATTTTATTGTACAGTTTCTCAACTTTCTGATGGGTATAATTGTATGATTTAAATGTAATTAAATGTAACCCAATCAAATTCATTGTTCAACTTCAATTAATAATTATATTTAATTTGTGAAATTTGCAATTCTGTTCTGTTTATTTTCAGATTTGATGAAGATGATGAGGATGAGGAAGATAATGATGATGAAAGTGAAACCAATGATGATGATGACGACGATGAATTGGATGGAGATGAAATGAACTATGACAGGTTGGAATACAACAAATATTCGCATATGCATGCACACATATGAAAGTACATTTCATGGTCCTTTCAATAAAGCCATAAAAATGCTAGGTCACCGCTGAAACAAAAAAGTTTTTCAATCGCTCTGTCAGACCATGTCCTCCGAAAATGTCTAAAATCTGCCTGTGCCCCATTGACCTTTGACCTCCAATTTCGGCACAGTGATGGCCTTTCCTACCATGATGCTATACACCGACTATCACGAGCCTAGGTCGTGCCGTTTAGATTTGTGCCGCAATTCTGCATTTCCTCCCTATACCTTAAGTTAAGGAGGGAATGTTCCCCCTTCTTTTACACCTCAAGATTGATCTTTGACCTTTGACCCCCAGCTTCGACATCCCAGCTCGTTTTCGAATTACCCCCCCACGTCCCGACTTTCAAATCTGTACATCGAGCTGTTTAGATTTGTGCCCAACTGTTGAGGGACGCACGCATGAACGGACGGACGATCATGCGATTCTACAAGCTGCATCTGACTTCGTCAGATGAGCTAAAAAGAGAATTGTCGTAGTCAGAATTAAGGCTGTACATGTACTCAAAAGTGCCTCAAATACCATCTCCTGCGATCTACGTTTTCAAAATTTTATGGGGAGGACCCCCACCCCTCTCCTTGGAATCCTGGATCTGCCACTGAACAGTTACATGTCTCGGGAGCAGAGAACAACAAACAAAACTGTTCTCTTTTTGCATGGCGCACATAACAAAGATTGTACAGCTGAGAGGTGGGGGCGCGCAGGGTGTTGAGAAGTAGACGGAGGAACCATTAAAATAACTGCTAAAATAATAGTCATCCACTATTTTGCGCAGTTCGCTGTTTTTACCCGCCCCTGATAAAAAATCCTGGCTACGCCACTGGTAGGCAAGGCAGTGTGCAGGTTGCTACACTAACCAGCCGATCTATGTAAAGAGAATCCCGATATAAATAAATAAATGAATATTTATATTATACACAGACATGTCAAGTCTCACGCATTTTGCTCAATTCTCACGCTCATCTCTGAATTTCTCACGCAAAAATCAAAGTAAATAAATAAATAATTAAAACCCCCTATTTTCAGTCCAAGATACCAGTATACTAGTATCGGAAGGCTAAGGCCCGATCAACAGCGCCGCTCCGCAGCCGCCCACCTAGCTAGCTCGCTCCGGCCGTAAATACGTATACTCTATAAGCGGCGCGGCCAGCGCGCGGCGCGGATTTTATTTGCCTGCTTGGAATCCAATATCCCGCCTGGATGATGGCTTTGCAGGTTACCGAGGTATTTTGTTTACTGTTCAATTCTCAGCACACATGCTGAGTCATAAAAAAATTCAATTAATATTTCCCAATACTTCCAATCATTCAAAATGAGTAAGAACTTATATTTATAAAGGCAATAAATCATACCATAGGTATGCACTAAATTGCACCATTTAATTCAAACCTCAAATTTCGAAAAGCTCCATACCAAACCCACACGCTCCCCCCCCCTTGGTCGCTTCGCTCCCTCGGCCAGTGTCGCTCCGCTCAACGCTGAGTCTCACTCAAACTCCACGACAGATGGCGCTCTCGCTCTGGCTCAATTCACCACTGCCACAAGTAGATTTTCCGTTACAATTTGTAATGCTTTTTTACCACAAGTTTTACAGCGGCCAGGTTACTCGTATCCTATGTAATAAGATTTGTACTAATAAAAGTTGCAGATATTAAAAATCCGACCATTATTTTATGAGAAATTAGATAAAATAGTGATACGAAATAGTGCGCGTATTGTGCGCCCATTTACTACTTTCAAATCATTACGCTGTTTACTAAACTAAGTTCACGTGTTTATTTAATATTTATCATGAATTTTTCGGATGCTTGCCAATATATACCTAATTCTCGAACATCGTCTTTGATACATTTTTGCGTATTCAGCTTAAAACATCTAAATTTGTCAACCAACAAACATGCAAATCAGAGAAATTTCTAATGTTTTGTTCGGCGGCGACTTCGCGAAATCGTCAAAATCGGGATAGTGGTTGTTGAGTTATCAACTTTATACGGCAGCGCATCTGAGCGAGTGCGCGCGATCTGAGCGGGCTCAGGCACCCTTACTATGCTACACTAGCGTTATACAGCAGGCATAGCATATTTGAAAGCGCAAGGGTAAGCGTGGCCGATGTTGATCATGAATGTGATGTGTATACATTGTATCAAGCGAACCAGACAATGCGTCTAGACAATATGTCTGCAGTGTACTTGTCTGTGCATATCTGTGAATCTGTTTTCATGTTTTTA